CCTACAGCCAAAGATTTGACGTTGTTGTCAAAATATAATGTGCATGTGCCTAAAAAGAGCAATAATAATAACTTTAGCAATCTTTTCGCAGTTCGCTATTTCTATTGGTCGAATTTTATGGAGGTGGTGGAGACACGGGATGGACCCCGCAAGAAGATATAGTGCCTGTGTATTTCTATTGCTGTGAGTTTACTAGGGCGCCTTGCCATTTAGAACTGGTCATTTTTATTGACTGAAGCCCAACAAACAATATGCTTCCAAAAACAAGCTTCTCCAAAAAGCACTTGAGTGCCCCTTTAATCTGTGGAGGAAATTGAACTACTGAATCCTTTGCATCCATTCCAAATTCATCTGCTAAATAAAATTTCTAATTTAAAAAAAAGCAACTGTGGAGGGTTTATTTTGAAATGTTCTTTGAAACCAAATACTTTCTACAGGGTGTCACAATTAAAACAAAAATGTACACGGTCTTTTTACCACAAAAATAAACTAGGCATCTCCGAACGCTCATTCTCCGCCCAAAGGTAGAGTTAGAGGTCACAACCAGATGCCAAAGTTTTAGCCCGATTCGATAACTTAGTCAAAAGTTATAAGTGATTTTCTGAAAATTTCAATGGGAAAATGGAGCCCATTTTTGCCCGTTTTAGGTTTCTGGTGCCATAGAGCTGTTTGAAAACTCCGTTGGCTTCCATTTTCCCATTGAAATTTTCAGAAAATCACTCACAACTTTTGATTAAATTATCGGGTCGAGCTGAAACTTTGGCGTCTGGTTCTGACCTCTAGCGCTACCTTTGGGCGGAGAATGAGCGTTCGGCGGTGCCTAGTTTCTTTTTGCGGTAAAAAAGACCGTGTAAATTTTCTTTTGTGACACCCTGTATATTATCTCAAGCAGGGTGCTCGGCAACCGAACGGTCTCTATTAGAGTACATAAAACCGAGTGCAAACCTTCTATACCCCCGGGACGATCCATTAGCTTCTACATACAGACATTGTTATGATGAAAGCACCTTGTATTATTATATAATTTCTTGTGTTCTTTTTAATTGTCTTTCTCGCCACTGTATGTACCTGAGGGGGGCTGAGGACCAGTCAAGCTGCTTGGACAGCTTTTCTCCTCAGCCCCCCACCATGCTTATACATGCTAAATAAAGCTATTATTATTATTAGGTAGTGGGGAGGTGCGGGACGCACCAGTAGCTAATCTAAAACCCTGACGGTGAAGGGGGTCCAACATCTTCAAAGCAAATGTCCGAACTGAACCATATACTGTGCGACCATAGTCAAGCAGGGAACGAACGGCAGAGTGATATATGCGTAATATACACAGTCGGTCCAAGCCCCATGACACATGAGATAAAACCTTAAGAATTTTGAGAGATTTAAGACATTTCAATTTAAGACTCTTAATATGTGGAATGAAAGTATGTTTTGAATCAAATATCAAACCCAGGAACTTTCGTTTTCTTTTTATGGAAATTGGAGTACCGCACATGCTCAAAGATGAATCATGGCGAATTCCAAGTCTACGAGAAAAAGCATACACAGTCTGTTTTTCAAGCGAAAAATCTAAAATCATTTGTGTTAGCCCATTTGATCAAGTTATTTACCATGAGTTGAACCCGACGTTCACAAATCAACAAGTTACAGGATGAGAGGGAGATCTTCAAGTTGTCAACATGTATAGAATATTGTACCGAAGGCTATATTACTCGAGTAAATGAGTTCAACTTAACAATGAAACGAGTCACACTGAGCACGCCTCCCTGGGGACTCCATTTTCCTGTATGAACTTTCTAGCAAGTATTGTCCCAAGCTTCACACAAAAAGAACGGTGCTCCAAGTACCTTTGGATAGAAGCTAACATGCAACCTCGAACACCGAAACTAAACAAGCTTTGCAATATACGAAAATGCCAGGCCGTGTCATAAGCCTTCTCTAAATCAAAGAAAACAGAAAGACATTCTGGCCTGTTGACAAACACCTCCCCCACAGCAGTCTCAAAACGAACCAGATAATCGACTGTGGACCGAGCTGAACGAAAACCACACAGGTACTTATCAAGAAGGTTGTTTCTCTCCAAATAAAACATAGGTCTCTTATTAATTATCAGCTTGTCAAACTAGTCAAAGCTATGGGTCTAAAGCAACAAGGGGAATCCACTCTTTGCCTGGCTTCATCACTGGTACGATTATATAAGCCTTCCAGTAGGATGGGAAGTGACCCTCGAGCCAAATTCTATTAAAAAGGTACAAGTTACAGGGTGAATGGATGAAGATGCCAAATAATGGATTTCATCTGGCCCAGGGGTAGACCGCTTGAATGAAACAAGTGCCATTTGAAGTTTATATAGCGTAAACGAAGCATTATGTGGTTTTCTCACAGCCCCGGATGTGGTCACAGTCTTTTCTTTTCCTGCCTGGAACTTGTATCGCTGGAAATTTCGGGTATAATGTTCGGAACTGATACAAATTCGAAGTGCTCACCTGGGATGTCTGCCTGTTTTTCCAGATCGCAAGGCATATTCTATTTCAACTTAAAGGGCAGACAGAAAATACCATGTAAGGATTATCGATTTTATGCACTCGGTCCCAAACTTCTTTCGGAGATGAACTGATATTATTAGAGGAAGCATAACCTCCAAAGCTTTGCCGTTTGGTGTGCCTTTGAAAATACCTCACCTGTGCCCTCATTCTTTTGAGATTAATAAGGTTGCTCGATGTAGGATATCGCATAAAAATGCCCCCTTTCTTTGATTTGTTTCTTTTTAGTATGTCGGCAGTCTTTGTCCCACCATTGGCCTTTTAGGAAGATGGGTGGACGTCATCGGTATGGCAATCACTACAGCTTCGAGATGTGTTTTGTGAGATAGTATGCAGCTCATCGATAGAGTGTTGATGTAGAGCTGATACAGCTAAAAGTGACGATTGCTTAAAACATGCCCAGTCAGCTTTTTGGAACTTCCACCGGGGTGAACCCGACAAAAACCATTCCCACGTCATTCATGAAAGAGTGACGTGGGAATGGTTAAGCTCTAAAATCAGTGGAAAGCGTTCACTTCCATATGGATTTCGGATAACCTTCCTTGAAAGCATTAATAATGATAATGGGTGACAAATGAATAAGTCTATAGAATTAAAAGTATAAGTAGTAGAACTAAGATTTGTAGCTTCATTTGTGTTAAGTAGACACACTCCCGAGGAAAGAAAGCGCTCGAGAGCCCCTCAAGAATCCCGTCTGACACTCTCCCAAAAGGGATTGTGTGCATTAAAATCTCCTAAAAGTAAAAAAGGTAATGGAAGATCATTAACAAAGCCATCAGGCTTTTTAATATTTAGTGATAACTGGGGGTATATAGAAAGAACAAACTGTAATTATACGTTCTTACAGAATGCTGGCTGCCGCTGCCACATGAAGTTGAACGTTGTACTTCCACTGCAACGCCTCGAGATGAGTAAGCTACTTATAACCAATTTTTGCGAAACACCTGTAAGTACTTTAATATGTTAGTATGGCTCACTTTTAGAAGTTTTTCTAGCAATCAAAATGAAATGGGGCCATGGTCATCTACTAGCTGGTTCGCATCGTCAAAGTTAGGCTAAGGCCTCTACAGTCCCACTGAAGAAAAAAGGACATTGCTATTCTAAAAGGAAGTCAGGTCGAAAAATATATATATCTAAGCAAAAACAATAAAATAAATTTAAGGGGCTTTTGGTGCCTCAATACGTGGATTTGGATCGTTTTTTCTTTGGCAGTGTCTCTTTGTGATCCTACAGCCTCATAGGACATCAATGAAAGAGACTCCGCTTCTGGGAGAGACGGATCAACTTCAGAAAGTGAAAGGCTCTCATCCATTTTTTCTTCCGCCGAGAGCTTTGAACCCTTGGACGGTGGCGGTTGTTCTATCCGCCCGAGTTTCTTGTTGCTGCCAAGGGCTTTGAAAGGAGCCTTTGACCCCGGCCAAAAGGGCCAGCTAGTGCCACTGATGGCACGTCTGATACTTTGAAAGGTGTGGTACCCTCCTTAAACGGCACATCACTCTTAGAAAATAAAGGTGACAAGGTTTGTGACACCTTCAGGGGTTCAGAAGGGGACCCCTGTGGGAAGGACAGATCTTCTAGGGAAGTCTTGTGTGGTGGGGGTCCACTCCGCACTTCTTGGAGCTCCTTGCCTGAAAGGCAAGCTGTTCTTTTGCTACTTAGTAGCTAAGGTTGTGGGGAACAATGAGCCTCACGGCACGCAGAAGGGCGGCACCGAGAGCGGGGAAGAAAAAGAAAGAGGAGGCTCGTGGTCGGTGCGTGGCTGAGGTTCGAAGGACGGTGGGCCAACAGAACTGTCGGTGCTGAGGAGCACAGAAAGAGCCGGACCTCACGAGCCAAGCAAGCACCCGGACCTCAGCGAGCCCAGGAAAGACCCGGAAAACACCGAGTACCATGAGTATCAATTAACTCTTGCCTAATGGTAGCGCTCCCTCGTGTGACGTCCTTGGGGCGAATGGAACTCGGCCTGATCGGGCGATATTGATAGGCGACCCACATAACTGGCGCTTCCAACGTAGGGCCCGATCAGTCTGCCGTCGTTTCTTTTCGCTCCCAGGGAGTCCCACGAATCGCAATTTCTAGATCTAGGTTTATTTTGCTTTCCCATTTGAATTTTTGTGTTACTCCGCGGCACATCAATGTTTAACGTTCTGCCGCCATGTCCAGGTTACGGAATAA